AAAATCATCAGTAAGGACAAAGGTTAAATAAACGTGAGAGGGCGGTCAACGATTTCGAGGAAATTATATACTTTTTTACTCACTTCGTCTGTGGGAAGTCGTCTGTATGCTCCGCACGTGCGGCGGTTATCGCCCCCAAGCGTAGACGCCCTTAATCTGTAAGATATCGTTCGATACCAAGTTTCTTCGCCCGCGACTGGTGGGGCAGGGCGTGCGCGGCTGTCGCTGTTCGCTGAATCTCCGCAAGAAGCGGGATCTTATAGGACTATAAGGGAAGAGGCCCTCGGAGAAAGCAGCCAGTGACGAGCGAGCGACGTGTGGAGAACAGCCTCCCAGTCAGCTGCGGTAGTTCGTCGGTCAACACATACATACACACACCGATCAGCCATGGAGCAATCGGTAAGGGTACTGTTTGTAAGTGACTGGGGTCGATTTGGATTACCAGCGCATCGGCACGAGTTGACAATAGGGTATTCACTTGACGCTGATGCGCACCCAGAAAATGGTTGTGGTAAATTAACGGATAATCCCTGAGATTAATATAAACAACCAATGGAAAATATGATAGAATTTTCCGCAACTTTAAGTGACGTATTCCCACTTCCCTATGGGAATTTTTCCCTTAAGCCAATGAGATTCCATTGCGAGAAAAAAAATCATGCTTTTTCCATTGAAGCAACGCAACTGTTTTCGGGGTGCACACTGGATCCAAAGAAAAAACAGAAGTTCCTTCCTGAACTCTTTTCTCCCTTGCACTGGTTGGCTGACGTCGACGAACTTCTTGAACTGGCTGCAAGAGCGGTCAACCCGTGTCCGGTCCGAGAACTATAACAGCGTCGACTAATCATAGCCAAGGGGGAAAGGGTTCGGGAGAAACTGTTGGTCTTCTTCGAATCCGGTTTTCGTCAGGTGAAGTCCCCTATTGTTAGGTACGACTGCACTCTAAAATTCCTCCAAAGCGGAACTGCGAAGGATTTACTTTGTAACTACGTTGCGTCTACTTTGCAATTACGAAGCGATGTTTTACAGCATCAAAGCGGTTAAAGCATTCCTGGCAGTGCTTCGCAAGAGGCATTCGGTAAAGCTTAAGACGAGAGGAATGAGGTGAACAGCAAATGAAAATCACTCTTCAGGCTTGGTGACCTTCGTTTCCTTGTTCGCCGCATTCTTCTGCATTTCAGCTTTACCGGAATTCTTTATTGAGCTGCTAGGTAAATGCCGAGGGGGAAATTACTAGGGTTTGTAGCGTACGGACTATTTCGTGGTAGTTCTCCTACCATTTCGGCTATTGGCCGCCTATTTCGGATTATTTCAGGCTATTTCGCGATATTTCGGAGTATTGCAGGGGTATTTCACGACTATTTCACCATTTCTCGTCTATTTCGTCATTACATCGCTCTATTTCGCCTTTATTTCGGACTACACTCGTGAGCAAAATTAAAGCGCCACTTTTTTGACAGGGCGTAATTTCGAAGTGTGATTAGGAAGGAGGTTGCCGTTTGGCAGGAAGATAGGCTCATATGTTGGCATCAGACCCCTAAAAGCGCAAACCTTGATCTCGAACGGTTCGCGAGCTGTGGAGCCTAACGCATCGCGACACCCCACTTCGCAGTGTGGTTAGGAAACAGAGGTTGCTTTGTGACGCTACCCTGACCGATTGGGGGTCGGATCCGGCTGAAAATTTAGGGGAGTACTCTCCTAGGTATAGCCGACATAATGCCGTGTCAAAAGACCGCCATTGCGAACTTTCAACCCTTTCTAACCACCCCTTAATTGACGAATCATGATTTGATCATTTAAAGACGGCCCCTTGGGTAAAATTGAGTGCCTGTGGTCGCCGTGTGACGTGGGCTCAATGTTTTAATGTCCCCTACCGGCTAGCAGTGATTTTCACCCCCTCCAACCACCCCAAGCCCACCGATAGCTACCACCCCTCAACCCCACTTTCTGGATCCGCCCCTAAGACGCATGTTTCTGAGTCAAATTTTTCGTGACAATAATCAGATTGACAGATAAACGCCCCTGCCATTCAAAACAGCCGAAAACGGAACCCAAAAACTTTTTTTTCATCAAATTTACGGCACTTTTTAACGCTTGGTGCAGTTAGGCCCCTTGACGGGCCCTGGGGGGTTCGGAAGGGTGCGCCAGTGTCTGGGTTTGTTCGTAATGTCATCCTGGACAAGACTGAAGGCATTTCACGCAAAAAATCCATGGGAACCCTCGCAGAATTGCCAAAACGTGATCG